CTGATGGATGGTTAAATCTGGTCCAGAGACTGGTGGAGGTTAACATGCCTCAAGAATTAGATGTATTCATATGGAATCTACATATCCATGGTTGTTTTTGGGCAAATATCCATGTATGTGTGGCATGGTGAACCATAACCGCTCCTTCAGGAGAAATTCAATTGGAACATATGAGTCCCCTAAGAATAGAAATATTCTTTTGGCACCTCTCTTGAGGAGTTAATTTTAGCCAAAGACAATACGACCAAACACAACTGGAATGGTAGTAAAAATTTTGTTTCTAGGACAAAGGCTGTGATCCATCATTTGTTTTCATCATGTGCCTTTTCGCGGGTCTGTTATGGTGAACTATGTGGCTTTTAACCTTCCTCCGCCAACAAGTACTGCAAATATGTTTAAAAATTCATTTGGTCGGGTGAATAGGCACCTAAGTCTCAAATCCGATCCTGAGCATCTCTCTTATGTTGGAAAATTAGGTAATCTCATGATTATATTGTTTCTAAAATGATGAAAGTTTCTAATTTTGTGCAGGTTATCCACATGGCTGCGCACTAGACCTGTATGGTGTACTTACTTCAGTGTGCGAAAGCATACGAGCTTTTAGACTATTGGTGTAATAAGGTGTAATAAATTGAATGATAGTCTAGCTATAGGGTGAGTAATTCATAAGTGCATTTAGTTTTTAAATATCAATGGAAGGTTTTATTACATTACATTTGGATGATAGTCTAGATATAGGGTGAGTAATGCATAAGTGCATCTAGTTCGTCATATGCTAGTCTGAGTATGACGTCACGCACAATCATATGACAAACAAGAGGCTATACTCGGACTAGCATAGAACAATAATGGGTAAGGAGAAGATGGGGGACATCAACAAGCACTCAACAAGTTCCCTGTGTCTCTCAATCCCACGGGATGCTATTGGGCTCCCATCCAAAGACCAGATCAGAAACATGGTGATCAACCGGCTTTGTCTCTCCATTCCTTCCTCTCATCAACTTTGCCACAACTGTAGGTTGCATTGTCATGTTTGCTCTATGCTACTACATCTACCTCTTATACACGGTTTGGCTAGGTCCACATGTAGGCTCTTTAGACTTTCTTTTGTCCCTCTGGCACTATAATAATGTTCTAATAAATAACGGCTACATATGATTTATTGCATCCGTGAGGGAGCATGTGGTACTTATCGGCGGTGGAGGATAGAGAAAAGTTAATGTGGGCAAAGTTAAATAAAGTATCAAAACAAAAGAGTGAACAATTTCAAAATAATCCATACACACTATATTTCTATATGATGCTAAACCGAATCACCAATTTCAATAGGAATATATACATATTTAGATTGAACTTTTAATAGTAATTTCTCAGCTTTTTAATTAAATCTTGCTGAACTTTACTGATCAAGAATCTTACCCATGCAATGATTATTTACCCAGTGGTGAACTTTTTTCAAAATCGCCACGCTGCTATGCTACCAGTGCCCACACAATGCATGCACGTGTGCGCCACACGGTCTTGATCCCGCGTTGAAAGAACATGTGGTGCCCCCATGTGTGGTTTTGGTAATAGATGACATTCTCTGATATCAAGCAATTATTTTCTTTGTCTGGCAGGGTTTGGAAAAAGTTCACCACACAAGCCACTATTAGGAAAAGGCCTACTAATGGCGCACCGGTTTTGCCTACTAATGGCGCACTACCGGTGCGCCATTAGTAGCACGCCATTAGAATTTTTTACTAATGGCGCACCACTGGTGCGCCATTAGTATCTGGTATACTAATGGTGCACCTGGCAGTGCGCCATTAGTGTGTAACTCCATGCGCCATTAGTATGCCTCCCGGGGGGCCATATGTAACCATGTGCTTTGTCACACTAATGGCGCACTCTGCCTTGATGCGCCATTAGTATCCTTTGGCACACTAATGGCGCACTCTACCTTGATGCGCCATTAGTATGAATATTTGTTTTTTTTGAATATTTGGTTTTCTTTTTTTTTTGCTTTTCTGATTTTTGCACAGGTTACAAAATATATTATTGGACAGAATATAGACAGTAGCACATAGCAACATCAGATTCATCGAATACAATAGAAGATTAGTCTCCGAATACAATTCATCATATTAGTCTCCGAATTCAAAAGACCGAACAAAGATAAAACATTACAAGTCTCAAGACCGCGAGTATCGAGTTTGTCTTCACATTACAAGTCGATATCGATCATCTAAACTACCATCACATAAAAAAGAGTTGTAGTCATCACGATGAGCATCATCGCGATCAAACTGGTCCTCATCCGGTTCCTCCAACGCTCCCTCCTCTCCCCCGCTAGATAGCAGGCATATCTAGATTCGGCCTCCGCCCTAGTGGTGTATCCTTTGTAACTGTTACCGCTGAAACGGTGAACCTGTCTCCGACACTCCTCCCAGTCGTCGTAGACTCCGCGAACCTTACCCTTGTACTTGAGTGAATTCCTCCTTGACGGTGCGGAGCGCATTCGGACGCCGGTCCTTCCTTTGCTTCTTCGATTGGCTGCCATCTGTGTGTGTGCCGCCATCATCAGTGGTGGCATCTGTTGGGGAACGTAGTAATTTCAAAAAATTTCCTACGCACACGCAAGATCATGGTGATGGCATAGCAACGAGAGGGGAGAGTGTTGTCCACGTACCCTCGTAGACCGTAAGCGGAAGCGTTATGACAACGCGGTTGATGTAGTCGTACGTCTTCACGATTCGACCGATCCAAGCACCGAACGTACGGCACCTCCGTGTTCAGCACACGTTCAGCTCGATAACGTTCCCCGGGCTCCAATCCAGCAAAGCGTCGGGGATGAGTTCCGTCAGCACGACGGCGTGGTGACGATGATGATGTTCTACCGGCGCAGGGCTTCGCCTAAACTCCGCGACGATATGACCGAGGTGGAATATGGTGGAGGGGGGCACCGCACACGGCTAAGGAACGATCCGTAGATCAACTTGTGTGTCTATGGGGTGCCCCCCTCCTCCGTATATAAAGGGGGAGAGGAGGAGGGGGCCGGCCAAGAGGGGAGGCGCGCCCTAGGGGGGGCAAACCTACTCCAAGTAGGTTTGGCCCCCCTTTCCTATTAGGAGTAGGAGAGGGAAGGAAGAGAGGG